AAAAAAGGGGCAACAACTTTTGATTTTTTCATATAAGTAATTGATAAAGAAAGAAATCAAATTGGCCACCTGGAAGTCTCCGTTGACTATCATCCCCACCGTGCAAAAAGCTGTGGCGGAAAAGCACATGACCACCTGAATCTCGAGCGCGAGCGTGAAAGTCACCGCCTGCCTGGCCTTCTTGTAGGTCAGTTCGATCAGCGGCAGAATGAGCCCGTACATCGCCGCCGCCGCTAGCGCCATGAAGAACCCCAGGATATACCTCTTCCCCGACTCCCCAGCCAGCCGGTCGCCGCCCGTGTGGAGCCCCAGAACCGCCGCCCCCACCGACAGCAGGACGACGGCGTTCACCGAGTACGCCGTGAACCGCTGCCCCACCATGAGGAAGGCCGACGTCGCCGTGAACGCCAGGTGGGACGCCGCGACGAGGGCCGCGGTGGAGATGGGCAGCCGGGAGACGCCGGCGGCGTACAGGTAGTCGTCGAGGCCGGTGAGGACGCCGATCCCCGCGGCGGCCGCGAACACGCGCGGCCTCATGAGGAAGATACCGCTCCCGGCGGTGCCACGGCGGCGCGCGTAGGAGACGGCGAGGGGGACGAGGAGCACCGGCCAGCCTGCTGTCTCGAGCCAGCTGGAGAACCAGACTCGCTTACCGCCGTGGCGGAAGTAGAGGCGCATGATCAGCGGTCCACCGCAGTTGCCGAGGGCGAGCGTGGCGGCGCTTATGATCAGGAATAATCTGTTCAATGCGCCGGCGGCGGCGCCTCTGGTTTGGGCTTCCAAGCCTTCCATTGATTTAGGTTTATTTATTTATTTTTCTTATTTTTTTGTTTGTTTGTTTGTTCTCCCCTGCTTTTCTGTTCCAGTTTCGGGATAAAACAGTCAAAATAATGGTTTGTTATTATAATCTATATACACCCAAGTCTTTATGCTTTGTGAATTGGACCCAAAGTGACAGAAAAGGTGGCCTCTACTTTTGCTTCTATCACTCTTTACAATTTGACACTTTACCTTCCCAACTCTTTATGTTTCCCAGTCTTGAACTTATGCTCTATATAAATCAAACTTCTTCTACTACCGAACAAGTTATCGAACCGGTGAACCGTTCACTGATCGGACCAGTAGTAGAACCGGTCGAATCGGTTTGTTTTAATATATAACTAGTACATAGCCCATGCGATACACGGGTGCACAATTTTAAGGTCATTTATCCAACCTTATCTCCCCTTTACATATAAGCAAAAATGTAAGGGGTTTAGGGCGTGACACGTGTCATTTTTTTAAGACGGAAATGCCCCTACATTGGTCCTCTTTTTACATTTGATCCCTCTCTTCTTTAACAAAACGGTGTCGTTTGGGGATCACATGTAATCTGATCTGATACGGGTTTGACTGAATTCTTCCAACATTTTCTTCTTTTATGCAGAATTTCCGCACACGCAAGGATGGGATTCGACGGGAGCAGGTAATATCTTTCCCTCTTCACAAACCCTACCAACCAAACCTCTCTTTTCCCAATTCTTACCGCCACCATACCTCTTCACAAACCCTACCAAATCTCTCATTTTCTAATTCTCACCGTCACCATACGTTAAAGGAGCAGCAGTTCCAGCAATCAAACTCCACCTCTCCTCCTATGGCGCCGATGAGCGGCTCCGGCTCACTGCAGGTGCGCCTCCACGGCGAGGCGGTCGGACTGTCATGGCGGCAGCGTAGTCGAACGGCACGTTGTCTAGCCTGACCGAGAGAGTAGCGAGCGGGAGGAGAACAACGACGAGATGGCGTCGAGGTCGCTGGAGATCGTCGACGGCGGTGACGACGTGGCAGGTGGTGGCGCTGAAGAAGACGCGGCTGGAGATGGACAAGGAGGAGTGACCCTGACGGCTCTGCGCGAGGTGTCCCTTCTCCAGATGCTCTCTCAGCCCCTCCACGTCGTCGTTTCTTTTGGATCCTACGGCTTCTATGGATTTGGTATCTTTGTACTACCCTTGTGGCGCTTCATTTTCATGTGTTTGCCAGATTTGATCTCTTTTTGTTCAGATCCTTTGAAAATTGGCAATATTCATCGTTTTTTTTTTTATTTTTGGTTGATTGAGTTTTAATGGCGGAGATGATATAGAATCAATTGTAATGGGTTGATAATCACATCACTTAGGATGAGAAGCATGAAAGAATATTGTTTTCATTTTACA